CCCTGCCGAGGGCTTCCATCTGGTTGGATCTTTATGTATTTGTGTATTTTTGTATTTATTTTATTTTATTGATATTTATGTATATTTATCTTTTCATTTTAATTTATAATTATATATTTATAGAAACCAACCAGATGAGAAAACTATACAGATACCCCAAAAATAATAATAATAATTCATTACTGACATTTTCATAGTTCACATACTTTTTACAAATATATACAATACATTATGAGTACCAATTTGAAATGGGTAGAAACCTGCTTCTCCTAGCTAGGTTTACTTAGTAACCTGTATTTAGGAGAACAGTCCCATCTCCCCTGTTGATGAGGAATACATAGTTGTATTGTTTAAATTAATTTAACTTTTTGTATAAAGAAATCATAAAATTTTATAGACATAATAAGTGATCTCTCTCTCTCTCGCTGTGTGTGTGTGTGTGTGTGTGTGTGTGTGTGTGTGTGTGTGTGTGTGTGTGTGCGCGTGTGCGTGTGCGTGCGCGTGCGCGTGTGCGTGCGCGTGCGCGTGCGCGTTGCGTTGCGTGTCATGTTATGTTAAATTTGTTTTATAAAATACCTCCTTACTTTTTTATGTTTATGTCATGTTAAAAATTGAAATTTGCTATTTATTAACAATGATTTCAAATATCCCATTTCGGGGAAATCATTGGTCAAATGTTTTTAATTATTTTTCTTATAGTCTCCAACACATGAAAAGTTTTCTGAAAGTCGCAAAAGTGTTTTTCTTGAAACATTACAAATTTGATGTATTTGCTTGGTGTGGGGTTGTCTTACAAATGTCATTATTACAATTATTACATTATTTACATACCTGCATTAATTTTCATCTTTTTTATAACTCGTTAAATAAAAATATTTTAGTTTTCAATCTCTGAAAATTTGCTAACTGCCAAAATGTGAGCGGTAAAATACCTTCTATTTACTACCTCTTCGTTTGGAGTGGAGGTCATTTTTACCAGTAAATAATCCAGATTTTATAATATATTATTAGCATCTTGCTAACAATTTCTTCATTCAACTTCCATCTCTTTTTTAACTTCCTGAAATCTCATTGTAATAGGTAAAACTTTGTTTCACAGCATATACGTTCCGAGTTATGTTTTAGACACTTTTTATAAAATCTTTGATTAAAGGAATTAAACAAAATCAAACAAAACTGACTAACAGAAGTTATTATAAGAGCCCCGAATTAGCACACGTAGCATTGGCCGCTCCCCGAGCATAACACCTTGCACGGCGATAGATCTAATACAGGTTTTTCCATTGCTGCTTATAAAAGTCCATTGCTGAACATAGGCCTCCCCAATAGCCTCATAGGGGGGGGGGGTTTGCCATGTTGCCACGCTTGTTAAGTTGTAACAGTTATTATTCTAAGTAGACCATTTTAAATTTATTCATACTCGTGTAATTGAAGTGTTTGTCTGTACGTAAAATTGAAATAACGGACTTCTGTTAAACTCAGGGGGTTATTTGAATACTGAGTGCGCGAAAAGTGACGACTAAAGGCATGGCGGGTCGAATGATGAAGTAGACAGTATTAGTGTGGTTCGAAAGAAACCAAAACAAAATGGCGGACGTGGCACGTGGCGGACTTTGGACAATATACTTGCTATGAAGTATCTTTGCTCTCTTGGGGTAATTAAAAATGTTTTGAAAATAAAATCAAAACAAAGTTGTTAAAGACAATTATTTATTGAACATTAATTATTAATATGTAAAGACTTATTTGCACAAAGTCAAAGACAACCTAATACACGTTGGTTAAAATTCGTGCTTTACTCCTAATTTTAGGTATTTTATCAGGTTACACTTAGGTATATGTCAGCTTACTTATGCATCATCCAGTAGTTCATTTTCTCCCACATCACTATCTAAGAGCAATTATAAATGCTCCCATTTAGCAGTTTACTACGTCATGCGTATAAATCTTAATTCTTTTGAAATAAAATTTCCCCTTTCGATAAGTGTAAGTATCAAATAAAGAGAATTATTTTTTATTTTAAATTTCAAAAGCATTCTTGCTGTCTTTGTCCTATTAACTTAATTATTGCTTACTTTGGTGTTAATTGTAAATTGATCATAGACACCATTTAATTATGTTTGCTATAAATCTTTTATTATATATATTTTTTAATTACTGCCATCGTAGCATTTTTGCAAAATCCATAACTAGTTGAAAGCTTAGTATGAACTTTATCTCCTTTATCATCAAACCAAAACATGTTCATCATATTTTCACTCTTAACATCCTCAGTCTTCAAAACCTATGACATTTGCATTGTAATGTAGTGAGGAGAACACTAGCATCTCATCAAGCATTAAGAAACACAAGCACTCTGTCATGCTCAAGTCTTTCATTTGCTTAAATATAAATAAGTTTATGCCTGGCTTAATTAGTATTTATTTAAGGACATTTTTAATGTCCGTCTTGAGTAAAGTGAACAATTTACCTAAGAATATATATCTTTTAAGGCTTTTTTTGTTTTTATCGACGTGGCCAAACAATTTGTCTTCGAAATTGTACCATCTTCCACGATATTCATATTATACTGTACTAACTGCACATTCAGGAATATGTGGGTGTGCATAGTCAATGATATCAGTTTTATTGAAATATTATTTCTTAGTATTATTTTTGTTGCTCTATGTGATTATATGGTACCTTCCACAATTTATTAGATTGATTATAGTTTCGCAAATGGTTTGTGAGGTTGTATTATGTATGAGTATGTTATAATACATATATAAAATGCTGATTTTGTAAAAAAAAATATATTGATTTACACATTTACAATGGTATAGTGGGCATAAGAAAGTCACTTTTGTAAATTGTTTGTATTTTTAAAAGTATAGTTATTACACACATTTAAAAAAAAGTTTTGTTACCAAAATATGATAACGTTATCAAGTACATATTTTAAAGATTAATAATGCTGCTACAAAATGTATCTTTTTATATTAAGTTAAAGATGTACCACTATTAACAATTAATTGATACTAATTCTTGAAATTATGGAAAAGAAGCAAACCTTTGGAGAGGATTCAATTATCAATGTGCTCTTAAATGGGAAGTAGTTGAGTCTTGTGGATACCACAGTTTTTCTTAGTATTAGACATTGAAGCCGTATTTGTTTTATAAAAGAGAGCCGTACGTTCAATTTATATCTTAAATTGTAAAAGTCGCGTAGAGAAAAATTTAATGAAATAAATATATTAACTTTGGCATAGCAATAATGTATGTACAATAATGTATGTATTGTTGTACATATATTATATATATATATATATATATATATATATATATATATATATATATATATATATATATATATAATGTATGTACATAAAAACATAAAAAGCTTTCATAAGAATAAAGATGTTTATACTTTAAAATCTAAGAACAAACATAAGCTTGTAACACCAGTTACTAGACTCCACTGAGTCAGTAGTGCTTTTATGGGGCAACATATACGCTTTTAAAACAAAATTTGTCAGAAAATGTACAAAAAGTGTTATTATAATATCAAAAAATACATCAATAATAACCCCTGTGATTGAGGTGATCGCCACCATGCCTGTACTATTAAAATTTATTTAAAAAATGTATAAACAAAATGATTGTAAAGTGAAATATGTTTTAAAAAAACGTCCCGCTGGGTTTCTTGTTGGTTCTTCCCAGGACAGAGGTATATGTAGTAAATAAAACATGACTTTCAATAAGTATTGTGTAATAATCTATATTTAATAATAATAATTCTATTGTATTGTATTCTCTGTAACATAATATATTTCCTAACTTAACTAACCAGTTAAAAAGAATGTGTTTAAAGAAATCAATTGATATTGTGCAAATATTGTTAAATTTAACACATCTAATGTTATTAATTTAGGCAAGAAATTTTTAAACAATAAACATTTTAAATATATCCGGTTTTTATTTTATTAATAGGAACTAGCAATTAGCACAAGAAATATAAAGAACCATTAATTACATTGCAGCACTTGTGCAATGTAATTAATGGTTCTGAACATATAAAATTGTAAAGTGCAAATAAAGGGCGGGCCCAAAGCACTCTTAATTTTACGCCACCTGACGGTTGGGCACGGAACTTAACGTAAATAAAACTTGAGTTGCTCATCTATCTCTAGTATATAGACAGTTATCTATGGTTTAGTGCGCCCAGCAACCGTTCAGTGGGAGGTTATGTGCGTGCGCTTACACCGCGCTTTGTACTATCGGAGCTAATATATACGTAAGTATTTTTATTTACATCCTTGCGACCACGCAATTTAAGTATCATGTCAATTTCTTGACAGTTTCTGCTATACTTTTTCGGATACTAGTTAGTTATAGTTTATACTCATTAATTGCGAATTACTGACTTGGCATGTAAGGTACATCTGATAAACTGCTAACTAAGAGTTAAGTCGACGCATCTACAAAAGCAACTTTTGGTAAAAGTGCCACGTTTTTTGAAGTGAAAACTTCTTTAGAATCGTTGTGATTTGAAACTCAATGAAACGAAAAAGCTTCACTGAAGAGAAATATACATGTATTATGTGACATGACATATTATGTGAGAAATGTACATGGATAAGGCCTGTGAGAGAATGAGATAGATATAATTCATACTTTAGTTACCGCAAGACAATCGATTCATTTGTTGAAATTGAAAACTTGAGACTCTGTCTAATATGCAATTTTTATATAATGTAGAATATAATTAAAATAGTTTTTAAATTTGGTAACAATATTATATTTAAAAAAAAACCAACTATTGTGCATTCGTTTCATTCTCTCGAAGTTTCGTTTTCTGAAGATTTCGCTTCTACCGCGTGTGAACTCCACAAATGTTTTTTTTTATAATTATATTTATGAATTTTTTAATCATTAAGTAGTCATTTTTTTGTTGTAATAACTTGTCCATTATATGCATCGTAAACAAATTGGGTAAGGTTAGTAACATATATTTTCAGACTATGGCTACCAGAAAAGATTTAATAATTAGCAAGACCAAACAAGCACAACTAAAACACAAATTTACAGATATCGAGACAATTTTTTTCCGCTGGTATGATTTCAATGAACACAAAGAAATTTTTGAATATCGTAATGAGTATTCCAACAACTATAAATTGGCACATATGTATAACTTTCAAAACATAGAAACCTGGCTTAAAGAAACGCAACCACACAATAAACCAAATAACGATCCCATGCATAAATTTGACCAAACGCAAAATCGTAAGCCACTAGGACGGCAACTAGTAAATGTGGGATTTGATAATACCGAGGTTAACTACACTTCTTATAGTAATGAAGAATTCCTTCCTCCTTCTATAATACCCGATGATAGACACATTGCCATTCAAGAAGACCCTTTTGCACAATCTGATGATAGTTCAGTTTAGATTACACGGAAAAAAAAATTAAATTTGATAAATTTACCAAATAATAGAGACAAAGAGCCTCCGCACAACCGGCTACAAAACTTTGAGAATTTTCAGTCAAAAAAACCTCCACGAAACAACTATCAACTTTCCTAAACACAATAAATCAAATAAAAATAACTTGACATCACAATATGAATATTTTGGGTGTGTTGAAGAGATATTTAGTACCTGCGGGAAGTGCCTATGTTTACTCTGTTATTCACATTTTATGGCCGAAGACACTTATATGGACTGCAAAAATCATGCTTCTTCTTTGTCACAAAGACATACCGAAAATAAAAAAAATATAAAAAATACCTGAAAACAAGATACAAAAAGAAAACGAAGAGTCAAAAATGGTTCAAAGAGAACAGGAAGACAAAGGAATAACAAAAAAGGGAAACCCAAGGAAAAGAAGAAAATTTGAAGAACCATTAGAAAAAAGGAGAGAGAAAAAGACTAAATTAGAAATGGAAAAACTAACTATAAAAGACCCATGCACAGAAATATGCAAGAAAAAATGCACCAAAAATTTTTGTGATGAACGTAGAAGAGAAATTAATTCTGAATACGTTTCCTTAAGCTGGCAATTAAAGGGTATTTTTATCAAAACTCTAGTCGAAATTAAACCAGTTGCATGCAGGAGGAACACAAATCGCGAAATGCCAAAACGCAATGTAAGCTATGCTTACTATTTTTATAAGGATAAAACTAAGATTGAAGTTTGCAAACTTCTTTTTAACAACTTTAGGATACAATCCAAAAAATGACAAGAGAGTTCTATTAGCTTTGCAAAGACCAATAGAGAAACAAGACAATCAAAGAGGACATTACAAAAGAAGAACTAACTTTGACAGAGATGCAATATAAACCCATATTAATACATTTGGCCCAGTAAATTCACATTATAGACGTGAACATGCCCCGCACAGATTATATTTGCCCAGCGATATAACGATTACTTTAATGCATAGGCAATTTTGTAAAAAATACCCAGATCAAATAGTTTCTTTTGAGGTATATAGAAAGGTCGTTCGTGATGAGATGCATATTTCATTCGCTCATTTGGGCAATGAGGAGTGCGAAATATGTGCTGAATTTGAACAGCACCATAAAAGTCATGAAACAAAAAGCAAAGATTGTGATTTCTACAAAAGTTTCAAAATACATAAATTGAGATATGTGGAAACACGTAAATCATATAAAGATGACGCCAAAAAAATCTGCCAACGAACCACACACAATTTACTACTCGATGGATTTACAAAATGTGATTATGCTGCCTCGAATGGATCAATTTAAACGGGCAATATTTTGCTCGCGTATAATTGCCTGTAATGAAAGCTTCGTGCCGTTAGGATCTAGTAAAATAGACAAAAGTAATGTGCCTTTTGTAGCGGTTTGGCATGAAGCTATCTCAGGGCGAAAATAAGAGGATATAATTTCTACATTAAAAGCATTTTTATTGAATAAACGAGATGTTGAACAAATAGTATTATGGATGGACAATTGTTCTTCCCAAAATAAAAACTGGGCCATTTTGAGTTTTTTAGTGTATATTATTAATAGCACACAAATAAAAGCAAACACTATTACCCTGAAGTACTTTGAGCCGGCCATAGTTATATGGCCGCGGATAGCTTTCATCATCAGGTAGAACAGGCTTTACAAAAGAAAAATAAAGTCTACGACTTTGCAGATTTTGTTGATGCTGTGCGGCAAGCCAATTCAGCTAAAAATATTGTAAAAGTAATGGAAGTCGTTGATTTCTACAATTATATTGACCTGTCTTCACAACACAAAGTGCGCAAAAATGAACCAAGGGTATACCTCAAGGATATTATGGTAATAACAGCAAAAAAGGGGTGAGTTCACGCTCAAATATAAAAATAATCACAATGATATAAATGAAAAAAATTTAGACTTTCTTCAAATAAAATATATAAAATCAAAGAAAATTCATGAATTTATTCAAAAATCATCACCAAGGGGCGTATCGGAATCTACTAAAATGGCATAATAAAGAACATTTTGCAGCTAATGCCGGATAATAGAAAAGAGTTTTGGCTAAACTTACCAGTTTCAGATGTAAATATTGATTCCGTTTAAGTTTACAAGACTGAAATATATATTTAATATGTTTATTTTTTAATTTTGATTTAATGAGAAATAAGTACGTTGAGTTATGATTTGTTAAATTAGTACGTAAGCAACTTTTGCACGATGGATCTCAAATTCTTGCCATATTAAAGATAAGTTAGTTTAAAACATTTGTACAAGTATTAATTAATAAGGAATGTTAATAAATAAAAGATTTTTTACTCTATTTACTGTTGTTTTTTTATCCTAAGAAGCCCTATGAATTATATGAATAACTTACCATAAGAGCAATAACTACGTACTTACTCCGGTAATTCTAAGTAATTATTTATTGTTACGCGCTCAAGTCGACGGCACTAGCGCCATCTAGTCTCGAACCGAAGAACTAAATTTCTTGAAGTTGAAACACGAACTCTCGGTACCTTGCGCGTGTTTACTTGAATATTCTGGATATTTCGCTGCTAATTTATATAAATAGGCGCTGCAAGATGCGATCAGGGAAGATTGAAGTTGGAGAGACAAGCGAAGCTTCGGAGCGGAATAAAGTGAATCAGTGTGATTAATTATTAGTGTTTTTAACTTTAATTATTGTAAAGTAAATTAAAGTGTTAATTTAGGTAATTCTATCAGTAATTTTTATTCTCACGAACCTCAAGCTCGTAACAATTGGTGTCAGAAGTGGGATAAAATCATGCCGATTTTACCTAAGGAGGAAACGGAGGGTGTCCATACCCGAAGTCAATGCCAGCAGGAGACGGACCAAAGAAGATTTGGTGGTGCAACTCCGCAGACGTCGGAGGGCCAGCCGCCGGCTTCAGGCCCATCAGTAGCTCCTACATCTGCAGCACCTGACTTAGGTGCTCTGATGGTGATGCTGCAGGAGCAGGCTCGCCGACAAGAGGAACAGGCTCGCCGACAAGAGGAACACGCTCGCCGACAGGAGGAACAGGTCCGTCAGTTGAAGGAGCAGCTGCAGAGCGGACAAGAGGAACAGGTCCGTCGATTGGAAGAGCAGCTGCGGGGCGGACAAGAGGAACAGGTCCGTCGTTTGGAAGAGCACCTGCGCGACGGACAGGAGGAACAGGCCCGTCGGTTGGAAGAGCAGATTGCCCTCATGAAGGATCTTCACGCTACCTTCGGGAAGGAGATCAAGGAGGTGAAGGATAGGGTTGCTCAGCATGACAACCGCCTGTCAGAAGCTGAAACCCAAATCGCGAAAGCTGAAACCCGAATCGAGAAAGCTGAAACCCGAATCGACCAAGTAAACAATCGGGTTGACAACGTAATGGCTGACATGAAGAAATCACTGGACGAACTCAAACTTGGAGGTGGAGCTACAGCTCCCGTAGTAGCTACAGCACCTTCGCTACGTGGATTCAAAGTGCCGCCGTTCGACGGGACTTCTTCCTGGTCGGCCTACAAAATCCAGTTCGAGGCTGTTATGAAGGCGAACGGCTGGAATAAAAGTCAGGCCATGACTGCTCTCATACTAGGCATGCGTGACCAGGCCTTAACAGTTCTGGAAGCTCTCGGTGAGGAAGTGACTTATGAACAACTCCTTGAGGCATTGGAGGCGAGATATGACGACGCTGACCTGGAACACGTCTTTCGTGCGCAGCTTAAAGATGGCGTGCAGCGCATCAACGAAAACCTGCAGCAGTGGGCTCTAGAGGTGGAGAAGCTGGTGCGAAAATCATATCGGTCTGTACCTGCGCTCATTGAAGGGAACCTGGTGCAGACATTCATCGACGGCATCCGTGACCTGGAAGTCAGAGCTGCTGTGAGGCTCGGGCACCACGAGACGCTTAAGGACGCCTTGGCCCATGCACTGGAGGTGGAAGCCGTGCGGCAGGATCATCGTTCCCATCGCCTCAGGGAGGTTGCAGCAGCTACAGTTCGCGACCGCAACAAAGGATACAGCCCTAGGTGCTATGGCTGTGGGGAAAAGGGCCATCTTCGATCCAGCTGCCCAAAGCGAACCCTAGAAAGGGAAGGTGAACGATCTCAGGAGGGTAGTGCGGCCAACAGCACCGCCCAGCAGCAGCAGGGAAACGAGTAAAAGCCAGAACTGCGGGGCGGGTGCTGGCTGATGTTAAAAGAGCCCCAAGAATCTCGATCTCACAAACCCACGATGGGAACAGTCTAATCATCAAGGGCGAGGTCAACGGAATGCCGTGTAAACTGACCATAGACACTGGAGCCTCTCGTACGGTTGTTACTTCTCAACTAATAAGTCAGTTCCTTGGGGACTCCGCATACAACCGAGAACGCATTAATTTGGTAACAGCCACCGGTCAGCGTATACCCGTCCGTGGAGAGAAAGAAATGGAGTTGAAGCTAGGCAACATGATATACCTGCATAATGTCATCGTGGCTGATATAATGGACGACTACATCCTGGGCCTAGACTTCATGAGGAAGAATTGTTGTGCGATTGACGTTAAGCAAGGTGTCTTGAAATGTGACAAAAGGAACTTTTTGTGGAAGGAGCGTTACCAGGGAACGTGTACAGCCTTGAGAAGATTGTTCTTCCGCCGAGATCGGAAACGATTGTGCCGGTTAGTCTTCCTCGGAATCCTGGGCAACCTCATCGTTGTGTACTCGTGGAAAGGTTAGAAAATGACCTTCCATGGAAAGTGGCTCGAACCTTGGTCAGAACCACTAGCATCTCAGGAGTACTTGTGCTGAACCTTTGTGGCCAGGAACAGATTATAGAAAAAGGCACACTGGTTGCTACTTGTGAGGAAGTGGATTGATTACGTCGGTGCCAAACACAGAAGAAGAATTGCCTATCCGTCAGCGGCCAAGAAGATTGCCGGTAGCACGTGAAAAGAAGTGGAAACCATGATTGAGGGAATGGTGAAGGATGGTGTTATTGA